ACACACACACAGTATCACACACACAGTAACACACACACACACACATACAGTATCACACACACAGTAACACACACACACACACACACACACTGTTTACATGCATGACGCTGGGGTACAAACATACATGACGTCACAAGCTGTACTGCGTGCATGTGTGTGTGAGTGCGCGCGCGTGTCCTCACCCGGTCCCGCAGTCTATCACGCACGGGGGGAGCGGCAGGGACATGTCTCGGTCCTGCTCCGGCTCGGCGCGGCTCGGTCCGGCCCGCAGCGCTGTCGGTGCTCGGTGAGCGGAGTGTGACGCGAGATGGAGAGAAACGTGATCTGAGCCTCCGTCGGAGCGCTTCCGGGGCGGAGGGAGCGGTGGCGAAAATAGAAACACACGTGACACGGCCCCGGTAACCGAAGCGACACCGGAGCCACGTGATACCCGCTGCACCGTAAACACCGCCGTCGGTGAAAAGGCGCAGCTGAAAAAGCACCGAGCACGAGGATGCGCAGAGACTCCACCGACCAGCATGCACCGCGGCAGCCGCACACATCACACCAGAGGGGCCTGCAACCCGGTCCAAACCCGGTCCGAACCTAGTCCAAATCTGATCTAAATCCAGTCCAAACCCAGTGTAAACCCGGCCTAAATCCAGTCCAAGCCCGGTCCAAACCCGATCTAAATCCAGTCCAAACCCGGTCTGAATCCAGTCTAAATCCAGTCCAAACCCGGTCTGAATCCAGTCTAAATCCAGTCCAAACCCGGTCTGAATCCAGTCCAAATCCAGTCTAGACCCAGTCTAAATCTAGTCCAACCCCAGTCTAAACCGGGTCCAATCCTAGTCTAAATGCAGTCTAAACCCAGTCCAAACCCGGTCCAAACCTGATCTTAATCCAGTCCAAACCCAGTCCAAACCCGGTCCAAACCTGATTTTAATCCAGTCCAAACCCAGTCNCTCCTCTCCTCTCCTCCTCCTCTCCTCTCCTCTCGGTCACCTCGGGGTGGAAGAAGATCTCAGGGCCCAGGAAGCGTTCATAGCCCACATCGATGTGGAAGGAGGTCCGGCTGACGCTGTTCACGCCTCGGTACTGTTTGATCCATTTACCAGGGTCACAGTCATACTTGGAGAACTCCTTCACAATGTCTGGACAGATGTAGCAGTACCGCTCCTGCAGGAGGAGAAGGAGGAGGTTAGGAGAAGGAGGAGCAGGTGAAGGAGACGTGGAGAGGAGGAGGAGCTTGTTACCTTTACGATCTTGGCGGTCTCCAGCGACTGCTCCGGAGGAATCCCCACCTCTCTGTCTCTGAGCAGCTGCTGGATGAAGAAGGTGATGTCCCGCCCTGCGATCGGGATGTGTTTTATGCAGCTGCCAATCACGTAGCCCTCGGCCTGTGACGGACAGCCACCGTGACCAATCAGCGAGCAGACGGGTTCCTGCCGGCAGTCTGTGTGTCTGAGGTGTGTGCGTTACTCACCACTGGGATGGCGTGTGTGACGCCGTCTCCGCTGTCAATCACGATGCCGGTTAGAGTCCTCTGACCCACCTGACGGGACGTCCAGGACGCCGCCAACGCCAGCACCGCCTAAGGACACACAGAGGTCCGTCTGTCTGTCCATCTGTCCGCCCGTCTACCTCACCTGTCTGTGCGTCTGTCTGTCTCACCTGTACTGCAATGTAGAGTCCAGGTATGTTGAAGGTCTCGAACATGATCTCAGCCAGGTACTCTCTGTTCTCAGGAGTGTTGAGAGGAGGCTCCGTCTGCAGAGGGACACATAACACTATCAGAGACCTCTACAGCCCCACCAAGAACGTCTACAGCCCCACCAAGAACGTCTACAGCCCCACCAAGAACCTCTACAGCCCCACCAAGAACGTCTACAGCCCCACCAAGAACGTCTACAGCCCCACCAAGAACCTCTACAGCCCCACCAAGAACCTCT